TTTTTTTTAATAATTTTGAGTTTTGTTGGACATTGTTCTCCCACTTTATGCAGGATCTTCTACATAGATCCCCCTCTGAGTAGTAGCTGGGCACCATCTAGTTCTTCTGGTCTCATAGTCATATAGGCTGATGATCACATGGTGTCCCAGTCCCTTGGACTAATTGTTTCCATGTGTCTTTGGTTTTCTTCATTCTTCTTTGCTCTGGATGAGGAGAGACCCATCTAGATGCATCTTGATGGCTGCTTGCAAGCTTTTTAAGATCCCAGTTGCTACTCACCAAAGTCAGATGTGGAACAGTGTTTTGTGTAGTATGTTATGCCAATTGAGCTTGGTGTCCCCTGCGACTATGGTTCCAAGCCCACAGGTCCAACTACTCACTCCTTCTGGATAGCTGGTTGTGGCCAAGAAGTGACTACAACCTTGTCCCTTGTCAGCTCTACCATATACCTGGGAATTCTTACAGAGCATACAAATATACTTGTAGAAACATTGTCTGCCAACCTTATCCATGGTCTTGGGCACACTCCCCCCTGCATAGATGTACCTAATAGTTCAGCCTGACCACCCATTTATCCAGCCATTTATCCATGTTTGCCTTCACTGAGAACGCAGTACTGTATGTACAAAAGGGAACATCTTGTTGTCTGTACCTCCCATGCACCTCTGCATGTCTTCCTCTTCCTCAATGCCACCGTGTTGATCACTCACATATGGTACCTTGCCCTTCTCTTCATCTGAATCAATACTTATCTCTGTCTATCCAACAGTGTTCCATCCCCTCCCCTCCCACCCCTGATAACCAACAAAGAAAATTTCCTTCCATATATAAACCTTTCCTTGACTTTTTACAATAACGGACTAATACAATATTTGTCCTTCTGTGATTGACTTATTTCATTCAGCATAATGTCCTCCAAGTTCATCCACATTATGCAGTTTTTGCAGATTCTACGTTATTCTTTAGGGTTGCATAGTATTCCATTATGTATATGTACCATGGTTTGGTTATCCATTCTTCAGCTGATGGACACCTAGGTTGTTTCTATCTTTTGGCTATTGTGAATAGTGCTGCTATGAACATGGGTGTGCATATATATGTTATTGTTCTGGCTCTCACGTCTCTAGGACCTAGTAATGGGATGGCTGGGTCAAATGATATTTCTAATCTCAACTTTTTAAGAAATGGCCATACTGCTTTCCACAATGCTTGTATCATTTGGCAGTCCCACCAGCAGTGTATGGGAGTCCCAATCTCTCTGCATCCTCGCCAGCATGTGTTATTTTCTGTCTTGTTGACCTTGACTTCTAGTGCTGGGGCAAGATGGTATCTCTTTGTTGTTTTGATTTGCATCTCTCTAATGTCTGATGGGGTGCTCTGGTGGTGTAGTCCCTAAGGCATTTGACTGCTAACCAGAAGGCTGGCAGTTCAAACCACCAGCCACTCCTCGAAGGGATGGTTGGGCAATCTACTTCCATAGTGATACCGCCTTGGAAACCCAAGGAGGGGTCACTATGAGTCGGATCCAATTTGACAGCAATGAGAAGATGACAAAGAAGTGGCTAATGATCGTGATCATTTCTTCACATGTTTGGTGGCTGCCTGAATTTCCTCTTTGGTGAAGTGTCTATTCACATCTTCTGCCCATTTTTTAATTGGATTATTTGTCTTTTTGTTGTTGAGGTGTTGGAGTTTTCTATAAATTCTAGAGGTAAGTCCTTTGTTAGACGTGTCATTGCCGAATATTTTTTCCCAATCTGTAGGTTCTCTTTTGACTCTTTTGGAGAAGTCTTTTGAAGCACATAAAAATTTAATTTTTAGAAAGTCCCATTTGTCTGGTGTATCCTCTGCTATTTGTGGATTTTGGGTTATGCTTGACAGTCTATTTATGCCATGTATTGTTGTTGTTGTTGTTATGTGCTGTTGAGTCAGCCCTGACTCATAGCGACCCCTCCTTGGGTTTCCGAGGCAGTATCACTACGGAAGTAGGATTGCCCAACCTTTCTTCCGAGGAGTGGCTGGTGGGTTTGAACCGCCAGCCTTCTGGTTAGCAGTCAAGTGTCTCAGCCATTATGCTACCAGAGCTCCCATGCCATGTATTAATGACAGACACATAAACCAATGGAATAGAATTGCGAACCCAGAAATAGATCTATCGACCTAGGTCAGCTGACCTTTGACAAAGAGCCGAAATCCATTAAATAGGGAAGAGATTGTCTGTTTGACAAATGGTGCTGGCAAAACTGAATAGATATCCATTTGCAGAAAAAATGAAACAAGATTCGTACCTCACACCATACACAAAAACTAACTCCAGATGAATCAAAGACTTAAACATGAAACCTGAAAGTATAAAGTTCCTCAAGGAAAAAATAGGGGCAAATTTAGGGTCCCTAATAAATAAAAAAAAAATGCCATGTATTAGGGACCCTAAATTTGCCCCTATTTTTTCCTTGAGGAACTTTATACTTTCAGGTTTCATGTTTAAGTCTTTGACTCATCTGGAGTTAGTTTTTGTGTATGGTGTGAGGTACGAATCTTGTTTCGTTTTTCTGCAAATGGATATCTATTCAGTTTTGCCAGCACCATTTGTCAAACAGACAATCTCTTCCCTATTTAATGGATTTCGGCTCATTGTCAAAGATCAGCTGACCTAGGTCGATAGATCTATTTCTGGGTTCGCAATTCTATTCCATTGGTTTATGTGTCTGTCATTAATAGTATTTCTATTTTATTTTCCAATTATTTGTTCAGTAGAGCATTTCTAAATGTGACTCTTTTACTGTTTTGCACCCTCTCCAATCACAAAAACAATACATACACATTCGATAAAATTCAAACATTATACAAATATTTAGGAAACAAAATTTCCTCATAATGTCAGTTCCCAAAATTCAATCCACTGTTACTAATTCTCTTTTTTCGGATTTAAAATAAGAATTCTGTTTTTACAAAATTGAAATCGTGCTACGTACACAGCACATCGCTTTGTATCATTCCCTGTTCACTTAACACCTGGATGTCTTTCTCTGCCTTGTTCCTTCTCACTGTTCCTCTTGGCCACTCGCTATAACACTGTGGGGGTGGACCGTCAGTTATTTAGCTGGCCCCACTGATTAGGATTTTCATTTCTTCATTTTTTGTAATTACAAGCCATGCTGAAATGAGTTTTTTTTCCCCCCCTCAATTGTGGTAAGTATATAAGTAACAAATCATTTACTTTCTCAACAGTCTTCAAATTTACAACTCAGTAACATTAGTTATGTTTATCATGTTGTACAGTGTGAACATCCTTATTTTATTGTGATGAAATACATATAACAAAGCATGCAACATCTCAGTAATATCTGCACATACAGTTCAGTAACATGGACAGTGAATGTCTTGATTCACATATCTTTGCTCCATTTTCCATAAGCTAGATTTATAGAAGTGAGGTTTTGATCAAATTTATGTTTAAAATTTATGGTTAAAAATACAAAATGTTAGTAAACAGATACAGCCAGCTTGCCCTCACAGAGGTTGTACCAGTTTACCTTCAAACAGCAGTGTATGAGTGGGCTTGTTCCCCACACTCTTGCCTACACTGCTCTGACAGGGTTTTGAGTATTTGCTGAGCTGATAGGTAAACAATAGTTGAGATCTTTCCCATGTCACTGATGGCAGGTTCCCGGAATGTTGGCAGAAATGGTCTGGTTTGGTGGAGGAGGAACAGAGGGCCATGAACTGGACAGACTGCTTTTCTGGTCTCCAGTCTTGGAGGGGTCCTGCAGCTTCAGCACATTTAGCTCCTTGAGTGGGTGTTCTGTGGCTAGGGAGGGATTGAAAATAATTTGTGAAGTGATCCCTGTGTAACTATTTGTTCTGATTGGATCAGGAAAGTTCTGTTCCTGTCTCTGTGTGTACGCTTAGTTTATTCACCTGGCAGCAATAGCTTATGACTAAGCATGGTTTTGCTTGGCACCTGAAAGCTAACTGTCTGCCCTAGGGAGAAACTCAGAGCTTGGCGTTTTGAACATGGCTTCTGGATTTAAGTTTATGTGTTTTAAAGTTCATGGACTGAAAACAGGTGAAAGCCCTTGTTGATGCCTTGGTGATTTGGATAGTGGGTGGCCAGAGCAGGGTGCCATCTGACTGCCTGGAGCAGGCAGCAGCTCTCTGCCCTGGTGTTCTCCCATCTGGGAGCAACTTTGGTGCTTTGCCCTTGACAGTTTGAGACTGACTGTAACTTAAAAGAAGCCAAGGGCAGCCCAATCCCCAGTGACCAGGCCGGCCACCTATGCCCAGTCCCAGTGCAGTAAGGCAGATGAGTCCTCAGAGCACATCCAGTTAGCCTCTTCTTTTGACTTGGGGGACACCCAAGCCCAGAGAGGCTCCTACCCGAGGTCACTCCCACTTCCCAACTAAGAGCTCCCCCTGACGCCGCAGAGGTATTGCTGGGCAAGGACTAGGCAGTGTGATGCTGTCTTTTCTTCCCCTCAGGACAGAGTTGCTGGGTTGTTACAGTGACCAGGACTTTTTGGCCAAGTTGCATTGTGTCCGACAGGCCTTCGAGGTGGGTGTGAGCCAGGTACAGGGAGCAACTTGGGGTGGATGGAACTGGGGGGATTGGTTAGGCTTGGTCATGTCCAAGTGGTCTCTCTTGCTTTCTACATCCATGCCTGGCTCCTCTGTGGGATGGGTCCCATGCCTAGCCCCTCACACTGCCCTCTCCATGGGATGTAGGGGTGTCTGCGTCCCAGTGGCTCACTCTGTCTCCTCCTTCTCTCTCATTTCTTAGGGACTTCTGGAAGACAACAGTAACCAGCTCTTCTTTGGGGAGGTTGGCCGGCAGATGGTGACCGGTCTGATGACCAAGGCTGAGAAGGTAGCAGGGCTTGTTCAAGTTTTCTTTCTCTTGCTCTTTTTTTAAACTTTTTTTAGTTTGTTTAATAAAGCCCAATCTAAAACTAAGCAGTTCACTGTGGTGGTTAAGAGCATGGTTCTGGAGAAACATGTCCAATGGAAATATAATGTGAGCCATAGATGTAATTTTAAATGAGCTGGGAGCTTCATGGAATTCTGGGTGGTGGGTAAGCACTTGACAGCTAGCTGAAAGGTTAGTAATTAGAACCCATCAGAGGTGCCTTGCAAGATCTGCTTCTGAGAGGTCTCCCTTTAGAAACCCTATGGAGCAATTATACTCTGCACACATGGAGTTGCCATAAATCAGATACACCCAACAGCAACTAACAACAACAGCAAGTCAAAAAAAAAAAAAACAAAAAACCTGCCATTGAGTCGATTCTGACTCATGGTGACCCTAAATGACAGAGTAGAACTGCCTTGTGAGATTACCAAGGCTATAATCTTTATGGAAGCAAACTGCCACATATTTGTCCCGCGGAGTGGCTCATGGATTTGAACTGCTGACCTCTGAGTTAGTTGCCAGGCACTTCGCCACCAGGGCTGATAACAACAGTAGTAGCCACATTGAAAAGGTAAAAATAAATAGGTGAAATTAATTTTAAGAATATATTTTATTTTAGCCAATATAACCCACATAGGATCATTTTGCCTTGTAATCAGTACTTTAAAATATTTAAAAAATTTGAATCCTGGGATGTTCATAATTATACCCACTTTATAGGCCATTGCGAGGACTAATGAGATAATATAATAGCATCATTGGTTGTTCTTATATAAGTAATATATGCTCGTTGTGTAGCAGTTAGAGATGATGTTACAAGGACAGGTTTGGAGCTGTGTACATAGATCTTGCTCTATCATGTAATCCCTCTGTGTCTGCCCGATAAATTCACTCTGTGCCTCATTTTCCACACTGAAGAGATGGCACAGTCATACTGTTCACCTCCTACAGTTAGAATAATGCATTAATGCCTAGTACCTGTGTTGTACAGGGTCTGGCACTCTATGCTCAGTGGAGGCTGCTTGTGTTAATAGTGATAATGAGCTCAACGCAAGCTATCTCCTGTGGACCAAGCAAGCCTCATGGTCATTAAGCCTTTGTAGAGATGATGCGTGTGTACAGATGTGTCTGTGTGTTTTTAGAATTCTTTTCCCAAAAAATGCTTTGTATGTGGTAGTGAGTGGGGCTTTAAGCTTTCAGTGTGTCTGTTGCCTTCTAATATGACTGGACTGAGTTACTGGGAGGGCAGCATGTCACAGGTTTGCATGCAGAGCACGTAGGTGTCCAGGCCCAGTTCTTAGAGCCCCAGGTCTTAGGCAGCATCAGTGCCGGGCTTCAGAAAGAGCCCTGTTTGCTTCTGGATAAAGCCACGTGGCTGAGCGATTATAGCAGGTGGGTGGTGGAGGAGTTGTCGAGGAGACATGAAGATCAGTGAGGTGCAGGCCCAGTTCTGAGGCACTCTGAGTCTGGTGGAGCGAGGCTGGGCCTGATTCTCAGCAAGGGGCACTGGGGGTATGGGAGAAGGCTGAACAGAATCAGGCTGGATTATCAGGGATGGCAAAGAGACCATCTAGATTTGGGAGGCAGAGAACGAGCAGGCTGCCCTGGCCAAAGCAAGAGTGCTGGGCCCCATGGGGGAGCAGTAGGAGATGAGCTGGAGTGATTAGCAGGCAGGTCACGTGGGCCACAGATGCCAGGCTGAGACTCTTCAACTTTATCCTGTAAGCCACAGGGGAGCTGGGGGAAGGTTGGCACCTTTTCCCTTTATGCTAATTTCATTCATTGCTTTTTATTTCTGATTACAGCATAACCCAGTTTTACAAAACTCACCGATTACAAAACACCAAACCATAGACAGTCCTCCTGACTCCCAGTTGCAGAACTGACACTCCACAGTCTGGTGTATAGTCCTCCTGCTCTGTTCAGTAGATGCTCTAAGCCTTAAGCATTGTTACTTCATTTACAAAATTTGGCTTGTGCCCAGCGGGCTGCTCTGCTGTGTTTTGTTCTTTAACGTTGTATCTTGTCCCTCTTCCCAGGTCAGCACATGGAGTTCTTTTAATGATTGCGTAGTATTTCACATTGTGGACAAGCTGGAGTTTACCCAGTGCTCCCATGGATGAACATTTGGTTTGTTTACAGACACAGCTGCTTACTCATTCTCACACAGATCTTTTTAAGTACTTCTGAGGTTTTCTCTGGAGCAAAGCGCTGTTGTTGGTGTTAGTTACTGTAGGATCGGTTTCGACTCCAGTGACCCTGTGTGCAGCAGAATGAAACATTGCCCCGTCCTATGCCACCTCACAGTCCTTGCCGTACTTGAGCCCATCGTCGCAGCCACTGTGTCAATCTGTCTTGGTGAGGATCTTCCCCTTTTTTTTGACCCTTTACTTTACCTGGCATAATATTCTTCTGCAGGGACTAGCCTTTCTGACTAGCCATGGAAATAAGAACATTGAGAAGGCTAGTAGATCTTGCCAGTTTCCCCTCCAAAAGGCTGCCTTTGTCCCCACCAACAGTGTTTGACTGGCTGTTTCTTCATATCTTGGCCAATAATGGATATTAGTAATCTTTTTACTCTTTGTTATTGATTCATTGCTTTTATGTTTCTTTGTTAGTGAGGTTGCTTAATTTTTCACATTTATTGGCCACTTGTGTTTTTTTTCTTTGAATGGGTTGACCAGAGCTTTGGAATATGCCTTTTTTGAATCCATTCTCCTCACATGTCAAGTAAAGGTTCTAAAACACTTATCTAACCTCATCATCCATCTGCTTAAACCCTCATGCAGCTCCTGCAGGTCTTGGTGTAAAGACTTGGCTTTGTTACATGGCCCACTACCTTGTGCATTTGACTGCATCTAGACAGGCTTACAGTTCTTGTGCATGCCAGATTTTCTCTCTGATCTGGACTGTTGCATAACGCTGGTCCCTCTGCCTGGAGCACTATTCTCTGAATTCATTTTTTTTTTTTTTTTAACAATTCTGTTGTGAAATACACATATAACCAAACCAAACTCACTGCCATCGAGTTGATTCCTACTCATCAGATTGATCCCTTTGGATTTCTGCTGTAAATCTTTATGGAAGCAGACTGCCTCATCTTTCTTCCACAGAGCTCCTGGTAGGTTCAAACCACTGACCTTTTGCTTAGCGGCCCAATGCCTTACCCACTATACCAGGGCTCCTGAAATACACATATAAGAGAATAAGAAATGTACCTATAGGATTTAATGAATGAAAAGATGAACTCTTGTGTACCTAGCAGCCAGGTTAAGGAGTAGATCACATACCAGTATCTGTAAGTCCCCTTCCCCAGTGTCTCTCCCGATGGTGTCTGCCCCTCTTCCTTGGTCACTTGTCTTCTGAGTCTCCATGGGCCATCTCTTCTCCCGGGAAGTCTTCTCCTGAAGGTCACCTTTCCCTCTTCCCCTGAGGCCCCAGAGCCTCTTGGGCTCACCTGGCCTCATACCCTGCATCTTGTTCATGGATTGTCCTGTCTCCTGTTGCCCAGCAAGCTCTGTGAGGTCAAGGACCACAGCCATCCTGGCCCTGGTGTTCCCAGTCCTGGGCCTAGCACAGGCCAGGTATCAGATAACTGTTCACCCAGCAGCCGTCATTTACCAGCCAGTGAACCCAGAACTTTTCTTCTGTTTATTTACCTTCAGCAGCTAATTAGATCCTCACCACAGTTCTCAATTGGCAGATGAGGAAGCTAAGCCTGGAGGGGCAAAGGGGTTCCACATTTTTCTCCCACTCTATGCAGGATCTCCTACACTGATCCTTTCAGAGTGGTTGACAGTGGTAGCCAGGCATCGTCTAGTTCTTCTGGTCTCGTGGTCATATAGGTTGAGGTTCACATGGTCCACTAGTCCCTTGAACTAATTGTTTCCATGTTCATTTCCAATTGGTGCATCTAGATGGCTACTTACAAGTTTTTAAGACCCCAGTTGCTGCTAACCAAAGTAGGATGTAAAACAATGTTTTTGTGTAGTTTGTTATGGCAATTGAGCTTGATGCCCCCTGTGACCATGGTCCAAAGCCCATAGGTCCAATAACTTGCCCCTTGGGGTGGTTGGCTATGGCTAAGAAGTTATCATAACTTGGGCCTATTACTTCTATTTATATGGACATTCTTATAGCACATATGTTTTAGTTACCTAGTGCTACTCTAACAGAATGTACCACAAATGGGAATGGCTCAAACAAACAGGAGTTGATTCTCTTATGGTTTTGGAGGCTAAAAGTCCAAGTTCAAAGTGCCAGACTCTAGGGACTGGGTGAAAGCCCCTCAGCCTTGGGCTTCAGCACTGCCTCTTGCTCCTGGCCCACTAAAGCTAGAGGCATCTCTTTACACAGGCAGCTACTGGCTGCTGAGGCTGACAAACCCAAGGTCAGCAAGTAAAAAGGCATAGTCCCAGTATTACCAAACCACACAGCAGGCCATTGATTTAAGTCCATTGAAAGTCCCAAAGTTGGCAGAGCATGGCAGGCTGCTGAATGACGACTCAGCTACGTGCAGGATTCAAGCATGCCGTAAGCTGGAGACCTTCCTCAAAGTTGCTTCTTACCTACTGGAAGCAGACCACATCTCTAAAGCAGCTACTCAGCTGCTCCAATAGCTTCCACCATGGAGTTAATTACCAGTCTCACCATGGGGAATAACTATATCCAGCTGCCCAGCCACTCAACCAGGTCCAGCCAAGTTGACATATGACCTTAACTACCACAGCATAAAATTCGTATGTAGACATACCGTCTACCAAACTTATATATGGTCATGGGTATATTCCCTTTTGCCTATACATACCTAATCATTCAGCCAGTCTACCCATCTGTTTACCTGTACATTAATGTTTATTATTACTGATAGTGCAGTACTGTATATATGAAGTGTTTATCTTTGTTGCCTGTACTTCTTTTATTATTATTTATTTATCTTTTTTTTACCCCCATGTTTC